ATGCATTAAAAATTAGGATTTTATATTTTTATATATAATAAAAAATAGAAAAATTTTATGATAATGACTTTATATTGTAATTTTAATGAACTAACCCTAGTTCTTGCATGCTCTTTTAATTGCTTAAGAAAGATTAATTGTATAACTATAAATAAATAATAGTTGATTTAATAATAAGTTAGAATAAGATAACTAGATATAAATAAATTAATTAAGTAAAAGAAGCGCTAACTATATACGATCAAAGTTTGATGGTATAATATTTTTACATGTATTTTAAATATATTTATTTCAGCTATATAACTACTCGCTGATTACTTTCGACTTAAACACAATCAACTGAAATAATAATAGTATTTTTTCAAATTAAATTGATCATTTAATGCTACTAGTATTTTAAATCTGTAAAAATTTTATTGTGAATTATTTCAGTAAGAATTCAATTTTAGAACTTCCCGATTTTTTGGGATTGATCTTAACCAATTCAATCACTGAGACATGATATTTGTGCAATAATTAATACATACATATATATATATAGAGAGAGAGAAAGAGAGAGCACGCATTAACAGACAAGCGTGTATAAATAGTAATAGGAAAGTTAGAACAAGATTGCTATATGAATTTAGGTGCCGTTCCTGATATCTAAACCGGTGCCTGTGCCGCATCCAGTCCCCGTACCTCATCCGATTACTTTGACCAAGCCGATCTTCGTTCCTGTGCCAAAAGCGATCCCGATTCCACAATCGAATCATGATGAAAGTGGTATTTCCGCTGGAACTGAAGGCGGAGGTGATCATGTTAGCCATGAGACGTCTCACTACAGCACTTATACCTCTCAAGGCCATGAATCCTACGATCAGCATAATAGCGACCAACAGGCCCAATTCCAGCCATCTCAGCCCGACTACTCGACGGATCATTAGCTTTCGAAATGCGACAGAACGACTGATTATGGCGGTGTGCGAGGTCTGTGTGGTTGAAAGGAAAAGTAAATCAAGAAATAAATCATTGACGTACGATATACGCAAACCGGTCATTTTGAAAGCGGTTTAAGCGAAATGTTAAAGGGTTTGAATAAGTAACATACGAGTACTAAATGACGTTGCCCTTTCTTGGAAACTTGACTCATTCCACTTTCAAAGTCGATAACCTAATACGTGAAATAAAGTGATATTTTCCAAATTTATCGCAAATACAGATCACTTTTCAATTAGATTTAAAAGAAAAAAAGAATAATTGGACAGAAAATTAATTTTATACTTATTAAAATGCAATAAAAATTTATATAATATTGATATTCATTAGAAAGATTTAAAATTTATATACTCTCGTTTTGTATCATTTCGGAAATATTAATTAGACACTTGTACACATGTTTATGTTGCGGGATACAATTCATTAAGCATTATTACTGAAGAAATAACGCTAATAGGTATTTCTCCCACAGTAATCGTCATCAAAGTATTTCTATAACATGGAAAAAGATACTCGAGTGTTATAAAACGATACTTACAATAAAATAGAGATTTCTTATTAAATATAAAGATTCCTTACATTAAAATAATTAAACATGGACCTTTAGGAATCGGCGCTATAATAATTGCGCTTTTTTTTGGGATTGATGTAATGAAATCCCCAAAAAATTATTATAGCAATTATTATAGCGCTGATTTCTAAAGATCCATGTTTAATTTTTTAATTGTTATAAAACGATTTTTGCGAATAGACAATTGATTTCTATCAAATATAATCTATTCTCACGATTTAATAATAATTGGATGTAAAAATAGAAAGATGAGTCGACGAGGCTGTATATAACGTAAATGTTATATATGTTTATAAATGTCGCAATTCTTCTGAAATAGATTCTATTCAATTAAATTTGGAAGAAATATAATGGAACGGAAGAATAGAACACATATAAGATTTTTCTCTTTGACATGATGATTTTTATTAACGTAACTAACTATAAAGTAAAAATATATACAATATATTTTTAATTGTTGATTTCTGAAGAATTGAGATTGCGCATTTGTATATAGACAAGTAGGTTTTTTTAAAAATTGTTGAGTTTTTGTTTTTGTTATAATTTTTCTTTGGTTGTGTGAGATTATTTTAATACTAATATAGTGGCTGTGTCCCGAAATTTACTATCACCGCTGAAAATTCATAGTTTACGTTATGTGCACCATAAATTTTCAGTATTGGCAGTGAATTTTGGAACACACTCACATAGCTAGTATTATTTTTTAATAAAACATTTATACTTATTAGAATGATGTCATCCTTATTCCTCACGCTCGTAGAATCTATTGTCTCTCGCGAAACGCCCTGCCGTCGTAAATATCAAATTGCGACATTTTTTATTGGGCAGGTGTACAAATAGCGTTACGACTTGGACTTGCTCAACGGGATTGCTTACGATATGTGCATATTCAATGTACGTTTTGTGTGGCGTGTGTTCTGCATGCAAATTTCATTAATCGCGTGTTTAACGTGTCCTCATTCTCCATTTAATGGACATTTCACCGCCGCAAGTAAGCATTTCTCATAATGTAGCCTTAAATTTCGCTTTCATGCCTGGATTATACAATTTCAATCTTGTTTTATAATCTTAATTCGTAAAAGATGCTCACGTAATCAAAAACTTAAATTGTTTATCATAAACACGTTACCAGTTATTTATCGCGTTGATTTTTCCGATATATTGTTTATCTTATATAAATCTATACGGCTCTATAGATATTAATTATAAGTAAAGAAAAAGCTTATATAAGTAATCACAAATAAAAAATATAAATAAATGTAAAATCTAAAAGTAAATATAATAATATTGTAAAATATAAGAAAAAGGATCGTTTGTTTACGTTTTTCTGTAATATCTTCTTTTACATCATGATATTTACATCATGATTTGTAAAACAATAAATATCTTTTGCAAATTTTATCAAAAAGGGAATATAATAAGAAGAAGTAAAAATGTACGATCTTGTCATAAGAAAAGATTTATTTCGATGATGAACAATCAGTATAATGAAGTTACAGGTAGAAACATATAGACCTAAGTAGTCACACTTAATGATCGCGAACACCACTTAAATTCTTTCGTCACGGAAATGTCTTTATTTTTTTCAAAATCAGAAGAATCCCACATGAAAAACTCTCCAAATTGTTTCTTAATTTTCGAAACGTGAAGTATTCACTGTAATTACACTTATTGTCGACGAAGAAGTATATATATTAACACATATTAATATATATATCTATCTTTGGGAACGCTTTTCTAAAGAAGATGAACACTAAAAGCTCTGAAAGATCCAAGCGGTCCAAGTGATGCTTTGCGTTGATGATGAAGAGCGTTGCTCTCAGGGTTGCCATTTTACCAAGAAGAGTATCCATAGCTCGGGTAACCGCTGTATCCACTGTATCCGTTATATCCAAGACCGGTGTATCCAAGACCAGCGTGCAATTTCGTGTAAACGATCGGCTGCTCAACTGGTACCGGCACGTGTTTGACGACGGGGACAGCGTAGGGTTGGGGCACCTTGACGGCGTACGGGGCGGGAACTGGAACCTTAACTGGAACATTGAAGGGAACGGGTACGGGGCGGTCTACTGCGACTGGAACATGCTTGGTGACTTCGACTGGGTAGGGTTTGGGTACTTGGACGGGATACGGACGGTCCACAGGCACGGCGTATGGCACCTAAAAAAAGAAAGATCGAATTTGATTATTGATGAGACAAGCCTATGAATAAATTAGTTTTCCTTTTCATTCTTGTATTTGTATTAAAAATTAAATAAGAAGATAAATAAGATAAAAATATATATTATAATATAATACAAAGCTTAATAGCTTCTTGTAGCTTATTTTGGCTTATCAATTGATTATTAAAAGCTAAACTGTTTGCTTTACTCAATTAGTAAATTATTTTTTGTTGTTCTATTACCTGTTTAATTTTTCGATTTCAAAGTGTAAATTTCATTAAAAATACAAATGTATACAATGTAGATTCGATTAATTTTGTTATTATAAGTGATATTTGGATCAAGGTGATTGATTCCCAAGATAACGCAAAACATCATGTATGAAACGAAGACTTCGCATTTCTAATCACGCTCCACTTATTACAGTAGATATATCTCTCTTCATACTACCATTACTTTATTAGCGTAGTAGAAATGCGTTGAGAGTAGAAATGTTTTGAAAGATTAGATTACTATATTTTATTTAGATCTTAGTATATTATTTTAGAAACTAACTCTATACTTTTACCAAACAAAAATCTTTTGAAAAATAAATATTTGTGTGAAAAGGTTCATTAAATTCGTAGATTTTAATTTACATCAGAGGCAGAATATATGCAGTAACACATTAAAGATCTAATCAAAATTACAACACGTTAAATTAAAAATAAAATATTTATGTTAATATTTAAGAGATTGAAAATATGAAAAGAATCGTAATTGTAAAATAATCTTTATGTTAGATGTTATGTATTAGAGATCGTTGGAGAAATCATAATCGCTTTTAAATGATCTTTCTATTGAAACACATGAATATAGTGAAGTTATTATTTCTCCAATAAGTCATTGGTTAATTGCTTCACTTTCATCTAATTGTGCTTTCCAGAAAATTGACTTCGAGAAACGTTACTATTTTCCATTAGCAGCAAGATGTGATATTGAATCAAGAATATTGAAAGAAATTATCTCAGATACTCTCTATTAAATTTTGTTATCATATGTGTAATTGCAAACGTTCGCATTCTAACGAATGTTTGAGAAAGGAAAAACATAGGGAGTATCGATACCTTATACGGGACCGGAACGTGTTTCTCGACGGGTACGGCAATTGGTTGGGGCACGGGTACAGCAACTTCCTTCGTCAAGACAGTAGAAACACCGTGGCTCACGCTGGTGAGCGGAAGGGACGAGTACGTATTTAATCCATTGAGACCATAGTCCAACCCACCAAGACCGTAGCCTAAAGCTCCATAAAGACCACGCTTATCTTTCTTTGCGGTCTCAATCTTCTTTGTGTCGCTTTTCGTTTCTTCAGCGAAAGCGAGCGCCACTAAGGCGAAGAGAACCACCACCTGTAAATTAGAAGATTTATACCCTTTGCTCTTTTTAAAAAGTTTGCAAATATATTGATCGCATAACAATACGTTAATTTTTTAACTTATTTTAATGTAATTGGATAATAATACATATTCAGGCATTTTGTAATTAGAAACAATATATTAAAATTATTTACATTAAAAATAAAACGTGAAAAATAAAATTAAAAATAAAAATAAAAACTTAAATAATTTAATAAGAATAGTTGAAAAAATCGCTATCTTTCTGTGTTTCATTGTCACATTAATAAACAAATAAATTTTAATTTTAATTTACATTAACTATAAATACGTTAAATTAAAAGTAAAAAATATTTACCGTAAATATTCTTTGTTCATTTATTTTTTGATTAATTTAGCTATACAAAATTCTTTTAATTTTACATCAATTATAAAACTGTCTATCTTCTGCAACGAAATTGAATGTATTATTATTTTTTTTTAAGAACACGAATCATCCTCGTAGCAATGCACGATCAGTTTTTCCGAGATCTAGATTTTTATTCTTCTTTTTTATTCTTTGGACGATTTTTTGTTAATGAATTTTTATTAAAAAACTGTCGTATCCAATTATACCTTGGCGTTCATGATGCTGTACCAGTTTCGGATTTGGTTCGTCGTGTTTGCGACTGATGAGCACGATGAAGATTCCCCTGCTTTTATACGATAAACCTTCAAGGAGAGACGACATGAAGAGCGAAGTGGTGGGCAACCGGGCCCACCACCGAAACGCGGTTAGGTGAAAAGAAACCGAAACCGGGTCCCGCGAGTAGGGGATTGTCGAAAAACTCGCACCCGCGCGACTCTTTTCGACTCGTAAGAAAGACTCGCGCAGACCTTGCGCAAATGCATCACCTCGTACGCATCGAAATTTATAGCATTAAGTATTGTTTGTGTGAAAAACTGTATAAAGAAGCCTAATTTAATAAATAATTTAATAAATCTTAGAATTTCGTATTTCTATATTTCTGTATTCAGTAATCATACTCATCTTTCATAAATTTTATATGTATGTAATTATTAGGTAAGAGAAGAAATTCTTATCACAACGATAATTAATAAAATTTAAATAAAAATTATTGTTACATAATATTATATGATAATTTGAACTATATAATAAAAATTTCATGTTGTTTGTCAGATAAATATTTGTTTAATAAAATTCTTTTTATGTATATTATTTTTGTTATAAATTTTATGTCGATTTGTAAATGGCGTAAAGGAATTTTTATACGGCAGAATATAGGTTAATTAAGGCTCCATACTGATTCAATTTTTGTGGTTCTTTGTTTTGCGATCATGAGCGCGCTCATGGGTGTTCTCTCAATTATTATTATTTGATTGTGCAATTATGCGCTCGCCTGATTCCGTAATTGAAATCTTACGCGAATGAGAAATATGTAAATGATGAGGTTAGCTTTCGAATTTAGCTAACTATGGCACAATAAATATTTACAAGCAAAATTACAAGTTGTGTGTGAATCAAATCTAATTCTATCTATATAGAAGGTAAAGTTTAAATTTATGTAAGACAGAAATAGACAGAAATACAATAATTTTATTATATTCTTTTAATTCTTTTCATATTTTATTCAATATTAAAATATTTTATTATATTAAATATTCTCCTTCCGCAATTTAATACTTTGCATATTTTTGTACATCTTGAATTTTATTAAAATTATTTTATTAGTATCAATCAAGATTCAAAAATTAAATTTGTTTCTAATACTATATTTTGTGTATAAACTTTATATATTATTAGGTGTTGGAATTAATTCGTAGCGTTTTTAAATGAAAGAATGTTATTTATTTCACATGAGCATTAAAAAATACATTAATGAAAGTACTTCCCATCACTTGTAAAACGCTACGAATTAATTCCAACACCTAATACATAATTATAATATTACTTTTAATTAGATGTTTTTGTATATGTACAGTTTTAATGAAAAATTATATTATATTGACAATAAACGACATAAAAGATCACCGCTTAAAAAGATTTTAATGTAAATTATTTAATTACTCAATAAAAATGACATAACAATATTACGCGCATCACGCGATGTTACATTTGGATGCCCACTCATCCATACATTATTGCGTCGTTTACTACGTAACCACGTCTCATTTTTCTTGAAGTCAGCGAGAAAAAGCGACAGGCATAAGATTTGCGTTTGACAGATCAGATCCCATAAACTTTAAAGAAAAATGAGAAAAAGCTTGAGAAAAATTGATTTTCACGACTCTTCTGTGAACAAATATAAAAAGGCGTCAAGAAAAAAAAAAGATTAATTATATCTAAAGAAAGTTATATGGAAAATAATATAAGGAATTAGTTTTAATTTAATTTTAATTTTATAACAAAATTTTGCAATTTTTGTATGTGAAAATTATTGAATACTTATTTTTAAATATTTAAAATTTAAAAGACAATGTTATAAAAGCTATTCGATTATTGTAAAATATTTTTTATTTTTATAGTAAAAATTCTATGTGTGTATATATATATATATATATATATATATATATACATTTATTTCACAATTGTAAATTAAATAATCGTCGCCACCTATCTCTTTTGTGCTATGCTTTTCGCGAGATGTTTATAGAATTTATGGATCTTATGGAACCGGCTTAATTCTTCTTTCCAGGTTGAACCGTGCTATTACCGAAAGTGGTCCGACTTTTGGGCAGCTTCGCGTAATTTCGCTGCTTGATGTTAATTGGCCTCACCTGTCCGATCAGTTCCAGAAAACCTGAAGAAAGCGTGATCGTTAATACATATTTCTCATAGATGAGCAGCTGTCTACGTGTTGACGAAAATTATTGCGGTAACGGATCACTTATACTCGTTACAACACTTGACATCGTTACGTATGATTAATATTTATGATTAACTTAAATTGCGTGCTATTCACTGATGGATCATGTTGCACCACGGATATTAATTGTAATATAGTTGTTAATATCATTTTAAGAAAAATATAAAATGTTATAAAAGAAATAGTATTATGAAAGTAAAATTTATTGCAAATGACTTGAATGAAAGATATAAGGGCTACCTTTAAAAAAATTTCAGCGGTCAGTATTTTATATAAAGTATATAAAAATAAGAATAAGATTGATTTTCATATAAGAAAGAGATTATTTTAAAAAAATTGAGTCATGTAAGTATCATAAAATACAATAATAAAGAAATTATGTAAAATAATATTTTTCTCTCTAGTTTTTAAATTTACACATACACATGTGTTGTAAAATACACACACATGATAAAATTTTTATGTTACTAAAATAATTAAAAGATTTAATAAGTAAGTACAGATTATTCCTGTATATATTTTTTTCATATGGATTTTACATTGATTAGAAATTGTCACAAAGAATGTGTAAAATTAAAATATATTTGTGAAGTGACAAGTATATATTACAGTCGGCTACTAGGTGTTAATAAAGAAAGAAGTTAATAATGAAAAAGAAATATCTTGGATAACCTTGCACATGCAACTAAGTAGAAAAAACATGTCGCTCTCGGGACGCTGTCATTAAACTCCGTAAATTAGTTCGTAAATTCCCGGATGACGTCGAAATCGAGGTATGCGAGGCCATGCCAACAGAATACATCTTCCAGATTCCTTTACAACCGTAGAATCCATGAGACAAACCCAAAGCGGATTTATGCAGATTATTTGTTTATGTATAAGTATATCGTGGACGATGTATAATAAACTATTCGATCTTGGAATTTTCGGTATTAATTTTCAGCGAGATAAAAATATATAAATAGCAAATTGTCTCTCTTACTTTACATTTAATTTCTTCTTATGAATAAATGGTTTAACGAAATTTTGATTTAAAGACTAACTATTTTTAAAAGATATTAAAAATAATGTAAATAAATATTAAATATTTATTAATGTATAAGTAAAAAGTTCTTATATAAAAAAGTAAATTATCTAAATTATCTTCTTCTATAAAGCATTTTATAAAGTTTATAGGGCAAAAAATTAAATTTCTTGTTAATTAAAATAAAAATTACATTAATCTTATTTTTTATCGTTACAGTTAACTAGTCTCAAAAGATATATCTAATTAGCAAGCTATCAATCAGAATCGATTTGTGATTGAGTTGACATTTCTCCATAACTTTCAACTTGGCGCGAATTTCTGAATATAAATTCGAATCCGTGTTCTTTACATAATTTGACAAACATAAATAATCAATCGAAAAATGCTTATGGTAGTTCAGAGTCATTTAAATGGACTTAATGTCTTAGCTGCGAGCAATTTAGATACACATTTTGCAAATAAATTTATAAATTATGACTCGCAAATTAAGAGTAATAAGCGCTTCTGTATTTTACAAAAAATATTATAGTATCGGCACTTTTAAAAAACTTGGAAGATAATTTTTTAAAAAGAAATATTGAATATTTGTTTTCGTTATTGCTATATATTTTATACGAAGTTATATCAACATTGACAATATTAATTTTTAAAAACCGATTAGCAAATGTAAATAATCGGTCATAACATTTTCGAATTTTTTTTCTAGATTTATTTTAAATAATCTTAATAAATATTTCTTATCAAAATATAGATTTTTTTCTAGAAATTTTGTTTAATAATTTTAAAAAATAATAAAAATAATTTTTCATTATTTTTTAAATTACAGTATTTTTGGATCTAAATGAAATAATAAATAATAATTAATGAATAATTAACTAATGATTAAATTACATATAATACGTAATGCCTTTAATATAATTAAAATAATAAATACTTAATAAAATAAATTAAAATATAAGACATAAAATATTTCATTTACTTAAATATAATTTTTATCGCCTCACTTTAGATTGCTATTGAAATATCAAGCTCAACATGTTAATAGCTTTTACAAGAAAGATCTTATTTTTGTCAGTCATTGCAGAAAAAGGGAGAGCGTATTTATTTTAATTAAAAATAAACACTATAGTGTTACAAACCCGGATTTTTACGCTGAAAAGAAAAAGGATGTCTGGCAATCTCGAATATGGCTGATAATATAGATGATCCGAATTTACATGTGACATTTATGGAGGCTGGCGCCAACGACTAACTTTTTGCGTAGACGAAATGGTTCCATCGAGAGAAAGAACGATCGAGATCTGAAAATAAATTTCTTCTGGACATTTCTTCGTGAAGATTTATGCTTAGTTGCCGCCTCATCCATCGTAAATTCTAATGTTATTTGCCAACAAAATCTAAAGAAAGTGAAGGTGTCTATGAGTATATTGGTCTATTTTAGTAATCCGGTTTTATTTAAAAAGATAAATTGCAAAAATATTAATTATAAAATATTATTTAATTCAAATTAACAATTAAAAGTCGGATATTAGAAGCATTTAAAGAAAATCTAAAAAAAATAATTTTCTTTAAAATCCTATTTTTATTCTTAAAAATAATTACAAAATTATTTGTGTTAAAAATATTTAAAAATTAAAGAAATTAGAATAAAGTTATATTTGCTTTGCTGTATAACATACAAAATTTACATAAGGAATTAAGAATTGAATATTGATATTATTGAGCATGAAAAATGGGTTTGATCAGAAACTTCAATAAGCACTTTGAACCAATAGTTTCCGGGTGGGAAAAA